CTCCCACGGAGCATCCCCCCTTCCCAAATCCATCCTTCCCGGCACGTACCTCCTCATCCTTGTACCAGGACAAAGACTCTGCCGTCAGCACGAACCAGTATTCCTTGGAGCCTCCCTTCATGATGCTGATGTTGTTGATGGTCAGCCAGCCCCTGCGGATCACCTGCAGGCACAGAGCAAGGGGGGAGCGGAGGGAGGAAGGAAGAAGAGGTTACAGGCTCTGGATGGAAAAGTGCTCCGGAGCTCCCAAGCCCGCCTAGATCCTGCAGGGAAAGCCCCAGCCCCAGCCTCAGCTCCTCATTCCCAAAGCCCAGCCCAACAGGGAGCTACCGGGCTGGAAAAGCAGCGAGCCCAGCACATCCAACCCGAATCCATGGGAATTCCCATGCTGCCCGCTCAGCCCGAGCAGCATTCCCTGCCCTCTCCCAGCCGTGATCCCGATGAGGAAGCCGGTGCCTGCAGTGACCACCCTTTGTCCCAGCACCAAGGAGCATCCCAGTGCCGGGAGCAGCTTTCCCAAGACACCAGCCCTCAGCCACTGTCTCTGCCGGGAGTTTTCCATGGATCCCATGGGTTTGGGAGCCATCGGATGGACGGAAGGGGATGTGGAGCCGTGACCCGCTGCGGAGCGGCAAAACCCATGGAAGAGCCGTCGGCAAGTGCCTGGAATACCAGGAAAGAGTCCGGCCAAGCCGGGAATGGCACCGCCCCCACCTTCAGATCCATGTTCCCGATCCCTGTCCCAAGTTATGGGATGCTTGAGCTGGGCAGAGCCGGTGCCGCGGGCTTGGGTTAGTACCACACACGGGTTAGTAATGGGGAAGGGGGGATCCGAGCCCCCACAGGCATGGAGCCTGGGATAACGCATCTGGAATGCTGTGGAGAGGGGAAGGAGGAGCCCTGGAATTCCACCTTCAATTAAAGGCTTCACCTTGTGCCATGCTTTATCTGTGTCTCTGGAGCTGAACCAAGCCCGGTTTTAAAGGAACGGGGACAGGAGCGGGATGGAGCAGGGATGAGGGAAGGGAAAGGGATGAGGAGAGGGAGCAGGGATGAGGGAAGGGGCGAAGGGAAAAGGCTCAGCAGCAAAGCGAGTGCCATGAGCCAGGCTGGAGGCTCCGGGGGTGCTGGGATAGTGTTGGACAGGATTCCACGGAACAGAGAATCTGGGAATTGGCCTGTGAGGCTCGTGGAGCGTGGAGGATGCTCCGGCAGTAGGGAAAAGCCAGGATTGGGGCTGGTTTGGGAGGGTGCAGCTTAAGGAAGAGGAAGCAGCGGACCCAGCATGTTCCTTTAACACCAACAGGCAGAGCTCCAACAGGATTGGGCAAAGTGCCCGTGAGCAGCTCCAATGGGAATCGTGGAATCCCCAATTGTCCAATCTCCCCCTTCCCATCACCTGGATCTGGGGCCAGGGGCAGGCCCGGGGGGCCCTTTGGGTTGGGAGAAACATCCAGATGGCGCCAGGAGGAAACGGAAGTGTCCGAGGAGCCGGGAAGGGGGCACGGAGCCTCCCTTTTTGCTGGAGGCAGCGGGATGGGTGCTGCATCCTGGGCAGCGCAGCCGGGATACCCCGAGCCAAATGGTCTTCCCAGTTTCCTTCCCTACGGATTCATCCTGAGGGACCCGCAGCGATTCCAGAGCCGCCGCGCACGGGGCTGGAACACCCAAAGTGGGTGGATTTAGGGATTATTTTCCCTCTCAGACACTTCCATTTCCTCAGCCGCCAGCTCCAAGCTCGGAGCAAGAGGATCAGGTCACCCCCCCAAGGGGAATCCCTTTTCCATGGGGAAGGAATTCCGCCCTCCGTCTCCCCAGGAGTGACCACGCTGCCCGCGAC